TTGTATACTAATCTATCCGAGTCTGGTGAGATGGCTAATACAAAAAACTCGTTTAAATGTTTATAGCCTTTAAGGACTAGAAACCAAAATATCCACTGCCTTAAACTAGATTTCGACTTTTATGAACCCCTGTAGAGAGTGTTTTGGGAAAGCAAGCCCATAGGGTTTTTCCAAAGCTGTAAAACCTTTGCTCTGTTAAGCAGTTGGTGTATCCAAATAAGCTACCTTTTTTTGTTGACCTATATTATTTTAACAGCTGCACTACTACTCCACTGTTACTGCTCCCCCCGCCCCCACGTCAGACGAGTAATGTGCCCAAGTCGTAACAAGGTTTAAGGGGTGGCACATTAAAAAGCATGAACACCCAATCATCATGCTTATGAACCGGAAAAGGATCACTCACTGCTTTTAACTTTGCTACTCTGAAATATGAAGAGAATAAGGTTTGAATGGGTAGAATTTACCCCCCTCCCCCTTGTCTTCCAGTAGGATCTGACTGATACAAGAGATTGCTGCTCCTTCTCCAGCTGAGCATCTGGTGGATTCTAACTACTTGCCTTCGGGATTACAGCGCAGCTTCTTGCCACTAGCCCACCAGAGCTCCCCGGGAATAAGGTTTGAGTCCTCCCCATGGGGTAAAGATGGGGCAGTCTTTTCGCTTTTGATTTATAGCCTCTGAAAACCCCCAGGAGGTTCCGTTTTGAGTGAGTTTCATTTGGACCAGACTGCAAATAACTCTTAAAATCTGTTGTTTGGAGATTAAATTTTAAGATTAAAATTCATCACTCATTGTCCCACTGCTCTAATATTTTTCCTTACAAGTGCAACAAATTACTTTACTGTCCGGCGGCTAGATAGATACAGCCTACAGCCTGTTTAAAACCAGCCTGATGAGAATGTTTTTTGTTTTTAAAGAGTTTTTTTTAAAAAACCTAACGACATTAACTACATATATATGACATATACATGTTATTGTTCTTGTTAGGTGCCATTAAGTAAGCTACAACTCAAAGCAACCCTAAAACAGATCTGAATCTTGCCCTATCTTGTGCCATTCTCGAATCTCTGATGTGCACTGGTACAGTAACTGTCAGTCCATCTTGAAGGTCTTCCTTTCTCTCTCCAGCTCATATATGTGTGTGTTCTTGTTATGATGTGCTGTTGAGACTGAACTCATAGCTGTTCTCCAGCAGGTTTTCAGAAGTTATAAATTGCATGGGAGGAGGTTGTCCATTTTTTTCCCTAAGGAGTAGCTGGTGGATTCTAACAGCTTGCTTTTAAATTGGTAGCACAACTGTTTACCACCAGAGCTCCTTTATCTATATCTAAAATTAAAAAAACCAACCTATATATTCATTCCAGGAAATCTTCTTACTGTTCCCTGGCCTCTTTTGGATAAATAAAAAGTCTGATCTCTGTCCTACGGTATACCTAGAAGTGAAAGCTCAATTTCTATTTTCCTGATTATGAGATTGAGTGTATTACCATGTTTATTGGCTATTTGGATTTCCTCATTTTGTGAAGAGGTGGGGGGAATCTCCTTAGCTTTTCTATTGAGTTTCTCTTTTGCTTTTGTACTGTTATGAGTAGGTTCTTAGTACTCAACAATATATCAAGTATTCCTTTGTCAGTTGCATGCAAACATTTTCTCATAGACTAGCTTATCTTTATAATATCTATTGAACAAATAAAGAACAAGAAAGTCAGTTTGAAGTGCCCCTCACCAAAGCCAGGATATTTCAACTTGTTTCACACACGTCTTTTGATTTCCTGACGGCTGGTTCCAAGAGTATTGATTAAAGGACCTCTCCAAAGTGCTGACATGCAAAGATGTCAGTCTGGAGACTAAGTTGTGCCTGATCCAGGCAATGATCTTCAAAACTACTTGCTATGCATCAGAGAGCTAGACAGTGACTAAGGATGACAGAATTATTGATGTCTTTGAGTTGTGGTGCTAGAGAATACTGAACATATCATGGACTGCCAAGAGAACAAATAAATTTGTCCTGGAGAGGGTGAACCCAAGATGCTCCTTAGAGGATTTTCAAACTCTGTCAGACATACTTTGGGCATGTTGCAAGACAGGACCAGTCCTTGGAGAGGGATATCAAACTTGTAAGGGTGGAAGGACAGCAGGAGAGACCCTGGATTAGATTGACATAGTGATGGGGGTAAAAGGGGCAGGTGTGTCGGAGACAGTAAAATTGGCCCAGAATAAGACAAGGTTCAGATCTATTGGGCATAGAGTCGCTATGAGTTGTGTTTGACTCAGTGGTACCTCACAACAAACATGCACAGGAAAGGTGAACACTGAGTAAGGAAGAGTGAAAAAGGACTGATGTCTTTGAACTGGGGCACTGACAATTTGAACATCTTGTGGACTGCCAAACTGTTGAGTCGAAACCAACACATAGCTGACCCTCCAGCGGATGTTCAGAGGCTGTAAATCAAATGGAAGGGGACCTTTCTCCCATGGAGCAGCTAGTGGATCTGTACCACACGTGTTTGAGTCCGCAGTTCAGCTCCTTATCACAGGGCCACCAGAGCTCCCAATGGACTGCCAAAAGAACAAGCAAATCTGTCTGGGAGGAAATATGCAACCAGAGTGTTCCTCAGAGGCAGGGATATTGAAACTTTTTGTCTCACATGATTTGGTCATTTTGTCAGGAGGCAGTTTTCCTTGGAAAAAGACATCATGAAAAAGATCAATGAAAGATGACAACACTTAGTGAGATAGAATGACAAAGGGACTGCAACACTGGCCGAGTATTGCAGGGATTGTGGGGATGTTACTGGTTAGGCAAGATTTTGCTCTGTTCATCATACAGTTGCCATGAGTCATAGTCATAGTCGACGTACTGGCACCTAACAGTATTGAACACAGGTTAATTCTAGTATTAGTTTTATCAATCTTCTATATTTAGTCCTCTATGTAAAAGAAAGATTTTTAAAGATTATGAAGATGCCTATAATGCTAGTAGTATTGCCATTCATATCTGGTTTCCATTTCACTTTGATACAGGCACACATTTTCTTGTACTTTTCTTTTACTACATTTTGTAGATAATGTAATTTCAAAATTGAAGATGTTTTATAGTTTTATATTGAGAAACTCTGCTCATACCACTTTTCCAACAACACATGCTCACTTTGAATATGTCATATTTTGGTAATTCTTACAATATGTAACACTTTTTTTTTTATTCCACTTTTAATAATGTTGATAGTTGTAAAGAGGCTTCAGGCCTTTTGTTCATAGGGTCACTGTGAATCATGCTCGACTGGAAGGCAATCAACAATGAATACTTTAATAGACTATGTTGTGACATGGCACAGAGTCAAAACCAACTTACAGCTGAACCTCCAGATTTTCTCCTGCAGGGAACTGTGTTATTGTTAAATGCTGTTGAGTCTGCTACAATTTATAACAACCCTATGGACAACAGTTCTAAACCATGTCCTATCCTTATCTCTGATAAACTTGATTCCACTGCAGCAGCCACTGTGTCAGTACATCTCCTTAAGTGTCTTCCTGTTGACCCTCCACCTTTCTGAGCATGATGTCCTTTTCCAAGGAATAGCCTCCCTAACAACTGCCCAAAATATGTGAGACGAAGCTTCACCATTCTTGCCTCTAAGGAGAACTCTGGCTGCACTTTGTCCCTAGACAAATCTCTTTCTTCCTTTGGCAGTCCATGGGACATTTAGCATTTTTCTCTAACTAAAAAGGCAAAAATCCTTCTGTCATCCTTACTCATTGTCCAGCTCTCAGATGCATAGTACGTGATGGAAAAAGACCATGGAGTAAATATAACTTTATCATTGTTGTTATGTGTCAGAGTTGCCTAAACAACAGCCCTAAACCCTGCTCTATCCTGTGCCAATCTTACTCTGACACACCTACTCCCATAACTCCAGTCACTGAATCAATCAATCCATCTCAACAGTCTCCCTCTCTTGTGCTGTCCCTCCAACCTCCCAAGCATGACATCCCCCTCCAAGGACTGGTCCCGCCTTGCAACATGCCCAAAGTATGTCAGATGAAGCTTCAGAATCCTTTCCTCCAAGGAGCAGCCTGGTCTCACCCTCTCTAGGTTTGTTCTCCTAACAGTTCATGGTATATTCAATATTTTTCTCCAGCACCACAGTTCAAAGGCATCAATTCTCCTTCTATCATCCCTAGTCATTGTCTAGCTTTCAGGTGCATAGCAAGTAACTGTAAAATCCATGGCCTGGATCAGGTGCACCTTAATCTCTAGACTGGCATCATTACTCTTTAATACTTTGGAAAGATATTGGACAGCAGACTTTCCCAGTGCAATGTCTTTATTTCCTGGCTGCTGGTACCAATTGTGTTGATTGTAGAACCAAGCAAAATAAAGCTATTAACAATCTCAATCTCTTCACCATCTATCATGATGCTGCCAATCAGCCTGGTGGTGAGAATCTTTGTTTTCTTAATGTTGAGCTTCAATCCATATTGAAGGCTGCAGTCCTTGACCTTCTGCAACTTCAGGTCCTCCTCAGTTTCACCAAGCAGGGTTGTGTTATCTGTGTAACGCTGTTGATGAATCTACCTCCAATCCTGATGCCACACTTCTCCTCATACAGCCCAACCTTCGGATAATCTGTTCCACATATAGATTGAAAAAGTATGGAGATAGGACACATCCCTGGCGTACACCCTTCTCAATTTTGAACCATGTTTCCTTGCTCTATTCTGACAACTTTCTCCTGGCCCAAGTATAGGCTTGGCATAAGCAAAATCAAGTGTTACAAAACCAAAAATTTCTTTACTTGTTTTATGGCAGGACTTGTCTTATTGCAATGGTCTAGAACCAAGCCTTCAATATCTCCAAGGTATTCCTATAATTTTGGGTAACAGAGGAGGTAATACTATGTATGCTTTAAAAAACAAAAAAATTGTAACACTTAAGTCCTTTTGGTGTCTTTCTGTAGACATCATAAAAATTTTTCACTTTTGTTTTTAAGGCTCCAAGATGAAAAATCATGAACCAGATGATACAGTCAAGGAAAACATAATACCTATTGAATTTATAACCAGAAAACTTAACCAACTTCCAGAAGTTGAAAAGTAAGATACTTTAAATTTTTTTTTTACCAGTTGAACTTTATCTTTGACATCATCTCACATTTGGTTTAAGTATACATAATAAGCAATTTCAGAAGGAACCTGAAATCCAAACAGGTGTAAAAGTTTTGGTCAAAGACACCTTGCTGTTGTGGAAGTCTGGAAGGCTAGAACTCAAAAGTCTAGGACATATCTGATTTTATGATGTTGAGTTTTCCATTAAATTTGCAGTATACTCAGAGACTAATAATTTCAGACTGTCGGTACTGGCTTAGTAGCTCAACTACGTACAGCTAAGAACTCCCCAATTTACAGTATTGTTAAATAGAAACATTTATGGATTTGTAAAAATATATATATTAAAAAACCCAAAACCTTAAAATAACTTAAAACTTTTCTCTCATTGTTATCATTTTGTGTGTATTCTAAAAAAAGGACTTTTGAACACACGTTGCTAGATTATGAATGTTCCAAAAATTAGGTCACTGACAAGAGCTTCAAGATATTAAAAAGGAAGAGACTGTACACAGAACATATTGGAAACAGCCTTTTCCTTTTTATATATATTGTTTTAATATAAATTTATCAATAGTTGTCACAACACTTCAATTTGTAATAACATGCATTATATGTAAAATACAGTAAAAGCATGAATTTGAAGAAAACATGCATAAGCATTTACTGTTTACTCCCACAAAATGCCCTTCCGAAGGCCTCATTGTTAAGTGCATTGAGTCATAGCCAACTCATTCATAGCTGACCCTCCAGTGAGTTTTCAGAGGCTCTAAACGGCATAGATTACCCATCTTTTTTCCCCATAAAGCAGCTAGTGAATTGAAACTATCTGGCAGTATGGTTTGGCTGCCAACCCCTCCCACTAGATTTAAATTTAAAAACGTTGAGCCCTAAAAGGATGGAAAGCTAGCTGTAGGGTAGGGGAGAATATAACTAGTACACAGCACAGGAAAGAGCTTGTCACATAAAAGGTACTAATATATGTTAAGCACAGGGGAGTTGGACATAAAATGTGAGGAACAGTGTAATTTCAGTCTGGAGGGATATAATCCAGGTAATTATTAGAGAACATTTCAGTTGTTTTATGGGAATAATTTTGAAATTAGATAGCAAGAAAGTCCGGAAATCTATGCTATTATAATCCTAGCGGATGATGATAGACTGGTAGCAGTTGAGGTGAAACATGGATTTAAAATATTTTGGGAGAGAGAAGAAGATTTGCTGAGATGGACTGATTCAGTGACAGGCGTAATGGGATAGGTGTGTCAGAGAAAATAAGAGCAGGGTTCAGAACTGTTGTGCTTAAGTCACAAGCAACTCGATGCCGCGTAACACTAAAAACTAAATCTCAATCTTGCTGTCACTATCTCAACAAGGAACAACTATAAATGAGCAGTAGTAAGAACTTGAGAGATTCCATAAAAGGTATAATTTCTCCCCACCCATCCATACACATGCTTTTGTTTTCCTGTTGTAAATAACAGAAATTCTTAGAAAGGGCCTATTGTCCTTGTAAATCACAGGCTGCTGGTTGTGTAGGCACTTTTTTTGGAAAATCTATTGACAAGGGTTTGACAAGTAGTTAGCAAATTCGATTTGTGCTTAGTCAATAAACTATAAATTGTGTCTTTACCAATAGGTGCCAAGTTGATTTAGACTCACAGCAACCACATGAGAACTATATCCTAACATTTCTGAACTAGTGATACAGGATTTAGCAGTATTTGTTGTACATAGACTGAGTCAGAGCTAACTCTACGGCATCTAACAGTAACCTCTATGGGAGTAGATCATTCGATGAAACTGGATTGGAAGTAGCAATCTTTGTTTGCCAGATTCCAGTTCCAGTAATTCCTTGTGAGCAATTATTTCCTGAGCATTTGTTCTGTGATTGAAATGTGAGAAAATATTTCAGAGTGATTATGAAGTTCTTAAAATTTTAGGGTGTTAACATTTCACATTTTCTCAGCTTCTATGAAAAATGTGTCTTTAACATTTGTGTTCTCTTATCTGGTTAGTTTTCTAGTTTCTTCTGAGCTCCTGAAGGCTTAAACTGCCACATTTTGCACTATTACCATTTTTATGTTAAAATTTAAAATGTCTTCTAATCCTTCAGTGTGTCAATTATAAATACCTCGAAGGTAAAGAAAATTCACTACCACTGACTCGGTTCCAGTTCATAACAAACCTCTATCCGGTGTCCTAAGCTAGAAAACAAGAGACTGACCATCTTTGCCCCAGAGCTGCCAGCGGATATGAACTGCTAGAGGCACAGCCTTTTAGTTAGCAACAAAACACACCACAGACTGCTACCAGTGATCCTTACGTAGATGACTATTTTGTGTCTTCAGTACTTGGGTCTCCTCTATGTTGTTGTGTGCCATGGAGTTGGGCTTTCTCATAGCTGACCCTCCAGTGGGTTTTCAGAGACAATAAATCCCCAGGGAGGGTTAGATGGCTATTTGGTGCCTTCAGCACTTTGGTCTGCTTTATGTATTGAGTGAGTACTAAATGATTATCTGACAGCCTCCATTATGTCATAAGAAAAAAATAGTACATCCAATATTTTAAAAGAACAATAAAGCACATCCACTGAATCACAGCAACCTGCTAACAGGCTAGCACTGCCCCTAAGATTTTGTAGGCTATAAATCTTTATGGGAGGTGAATACCCCTCTCCTTTCTCACAGATCAACTGGTAGATCTGAACCAAAGAACTATTGATCAGCAGTTTGACATGTTACATAGTAGCACTCAAAATCCTTTAAAATATTAGTACTCTCCTGTAAGTTTTAATGCTTCAGTTTCCCTGTCAAATGCTGATGTTCTTGAGAAAAGAGTTGTATACATTTTATTCATGCTATGGACTCAAGGGGAAACCAATGACATAATCATTATCACTATATAGTTAATAAGGGAGCTTCAGTGGCTTAGTGCTAAGGCATTGTGCTTGCCAACCCAAAACATGTGGTTTGAATACACCAGCTTCTCCTTGGGAAAAAGATGGGCAGTCTTTTTCTCCTGCAGTTTACTGCCTCTCAAAGTCTAAAAGATTAGCCATGAGTCAGTTCCAACTCCACAGGACTTAACAAAGTAATGTATAGTACTACTTTGTTTATAGAGGTAAAGCGTTGGTTATTGAGGAAAGGCAACCAAACCGTCCTCTTTAGGCGGTCCATTAGGTAGCTGGAGAGAATTGCTAAACTGATTCCCAAAATCTAAAACATACCATAATCCAATCTTTTCTGAAAGCCAATGATTGCGGGTTGGTTTTGGTTGGGTTGTTCGGGGTTTTTGTTTTTTTTTTAGGGGGGTGGTTTATGGACCTATAAAGAATATCTGGTGTATCCTGTTAGTCACAAAGTCCTGGTATATTCTCAAATATATGCTCAAAGTGAGAAAAGGCATTTGTACACATACAACAGAAATAAGGATCTTACCTTTCCCACCCACAGGAATCTACTTGAACATGGATCAACATATATTGGACTTAATGCTGCTCTTTGTGGCCTAATATCAAGCAGTCTTTTTCGACGCATCTTAAATGTGACACAGGCTCGGATAGCAGCTGGTTTACCAATGGCAGTTATTCCATTTATTACAGCACATCTAGCTTACAAAGGTTTTGTAAGCTTACCTTTGAGTACAGGTAAATTCTTTCTCTATTGCCATTGTGTGAAAACTGACTCACTAGACGGTTATCAGGTTTTCTGAGCCTGTAAATGGCATTGGAGTGTCCATCTTTTTCCTGCCAGTCACTGGTAGATTCAAACTAGCTGCCTTTAAGTTAGCAGCACACCTCTCTATAATTATGCCACCAGAGCTGCTGATTGTCTTCATGTTAGGTGGCAGCTAATTAAGTCTATCTGCACTGTAAAATACACACATATGTCTAAAATATATGCAGTTTTACCTTATCATTCTAGCAGTGCTCATTTAACGAAATATTTGGAAAACTTTAAAAAATGTTCATCACATAAGGTTTTATACTTTGTATTTTATAGAAAAGTTCATTAAAGAGGGGAAAAGGGTGTGTTGTTCTGTGTTTTTAATGAAAGACTATGTAGTATACCAAACATGTAGAAGTTTCATTTCCTTTTGAAAATTGACTCATGTTCTGCCAATCATGAAAAACCTGATTTCAAGTAAAATATTTAGAAATAAAGCATAGATGGTTGTCCCAAAAATGTCCCTCACATGTTAACAATGTTTCTTAAAGAAATGCTAGCTAGCTCAGACCTGCTGATACAAGGTTACCTACAAAGTTATGGTAGCCAAAACTGAGATTATATCCCCATTTAGAACAGGTCGCCTTATCATCTTCCTCATACACGTTGATAACTGTTATTCTTCAACAATCTTGGTATAATTGCACTGACTGTATTCATGTATACTTTTGTGTAGTGTATTTGAGGACAGAAAAACAAGCTTAATTTTTGAGTTATATAAAGTTACTTTGCTTCCATCACATTTACTTGACTATCCTGATCTTTACTTCCAGAACTAGTTTGGGTTTTTTTCCGTCCCTAGGTTATCTGAGCTGTGAAACTTGTACTGTAACACGGGGTGCAATGGTTGGTCTTCTTTTCGGGGGTCTTTACCCTGTTGTTTTGGCTATACCTGTGAACGGTGGCCTAGCAGCCAGGTAGGATTCTTTTGTTGTTTCCTCATAATCACTGACAAACTTTATTTTGACTACCTAATTTAAGATAACTTATTTTGCATTTTAAAACATGTTAGACCAAAGGCAATCTAAGTTTTTATTTGAAAGTTAGTAAGATTGTTTTTCAGTAACCAAACATTATTTCTCAAGAATTTAAAAATAACTATAGAACTGTATCATATTGTGCATATCCTGGTCTATTTAACCTTAATCTGGACAAAATGCTTACTGCTAACAGTATTATGTCTAGTTTGGAAAGTGCACATATACACAATATTGGCAGATGAGTTTCAACACTTTCATCAAAGGAAAATTACATCAGAAAGTTTTCATGACAAGTCTGTATGTAATTCATAAATATACTCTGAAGAAACCTACATCATGTATAAGTGAGCCTGTATGAAAAAAGGAACAAAAAAGGGTAAACTGTATGAGTTAATACCCCAAACAGAATAGCATTACCTCAAATTCATCTAAGTTTTATATTCAGATTCTTTAGATAGTACATAGAATTGCCACACGATAGTTAAAACACACACGCGCGCACACACACAAAACCAAACCACCACCATACTATCCCAAAATAATACCTACATTTTTTGATGGATTGTCTCAATGTTTTCTTACAGGTATATGTCAGCCTTGCTACCAGAGAAAGGAAACATCTTAACTTTCTGGATCAGGATTTCTAAACCTGTCTTTAGAAAGATGCTTTTCCCCATTATGCTTCAGACTGTGTTTGCAGCTTATCTTGGGTCTAGGCAATATAAGTTACTCATAAAAGCCCTTCATTTACCTGAACCTGACCTAGAAACTTCCAAGATTTAGAATCTTAGAAGTATATATACAAAAATAAAATGGTTTTTAAAAACTACATGTCTAGACATTTATAATTTATTATTTATGTTAAGTACCATTCTAGGCACTTAAGACATGCTTTACATGAGACATTGAATTTTGTCTAAGATACTTGATGAAACCAAACAAGAATTAAAATTAGGGAGAAAGGAGTATTGGTTGGGAACACTAATAGGTGGCTCCAGTGTAGTGATGCTAACTAAAGGCTGACAATTTGAATATACCACATGCTCTATGGGGTAAAAAATGGGTAGTTTCAAAGGGTTTCCACAGTCTTACTGTCATGTGCCTTCAAGTCAGTGACAACTTAAGAGACCCTAAGAATGGCTCTGAACCTTAATCTAGAGCAAACCTCACTAACATCTGAGACACATTTGACCCACTGCTACAGGCACTGTGCCAAATCAATCCATCTTGTCAAGGATCTTCTCTTAGGCTAACCCTCCACCTTCATGATGCCTCTCCTAGTACGACTTTCCTCCCAAAGTATGTGAGGCTGAGTTTCAACATTCTTGCCTCCAAAGAGCACCCTGGTTCCATGTTCTCCAGGAGTGTTACATGTTGGACTGCTGAAAGGTTGGCAATTTAAATCTACCAGGTGCTTTTGCTGAGGCAGTCTCCTCTAAGATTTACTGCCAAGAACAGATGAAGGCTGAAACAGACCCTAATGTAGGGGGTTTTGTTTTGGTGGTTTTTTTTTTTTAAAAAAAAAAGTAGCCAAAGTAGAGCTTCCGATCTTTATAAAAGCAGATGATGACCCTATCTTTTTCCTAGTGTGTTCACCAACCATTTGGCAGCTAAGCATGTGAAACTAATGTACGACAAGTTCTGTGGAATCTTCAAGAGATGATTCTTCAGGCTCACCTTAAGTTGTTCAAATGAAAAGTAACTTTATTGGAAACTAGTTTCTTGGAAAACTAGTTCCTTTCTATTGGCACTTAATAGGAACAAATTTTTTCCTAATTTTGTTTCTCAAATAATCCATGTTTACTCTGCATTTTCTGAATTTTGTTTTGATTTCCCTAATTTTTTCATCCACTTATAAAATACCCTTTTCACAGGACATTTTGACTAGATTTTCTATTCTTTTATATCTGAGCATTTGAAATGCTGGCTAGTGAAAATGAAGAACTGCATTAGACCAACACTTTCTCATCAATCATTCTCAGTCATAAAAGAGAAACTCATAAAATTGACAGGAATGAGTTTGTGTTTAGTTCATCACAGAATACAAAATGAAATCTTAAGTGCTGTTCTAGACCACATTCATAAGCACCTTACTACTTCCTCCAATGGAATGGCATGTGTTAATCGTGAAAAAATTTAGCCAATCGGTTTCCAGCATCTCTGAAGGAAAACAGGAATGAAGTGTTGCTAAAAACTGAAGTCGATGCAAACGAAAACATTTCCAAATTTCAAGAATACAAAGACCCTTTTGTTCTTTCAAAAAGTACACAAGCTTATTCCCTAATAAACTCTTAATAACCCCTAATTATTAAGCAAAAAATAACTTACGTGCCCAGTGTGAAAGAAGCCAAAAATGTAATTGTAGATAGTCTCAGTTATGGAATTCTATATCCTGACTGTTCCAAATTTTTACAAGACTATGACTTAATCTTATTTAGAAGGAAAAAACCAAATTACATGGGGGGTTTTTATAAGATAATTAAATCCAGGTTTAAAAAGTTCTCAAACTCCAATTACTTGTATTTGGTCACTTTTCTTACTGTAGTTAAGGAGAGGGAGGAACTATTCAGAATTCATAACTCTTTAAGTTAAAACCCACATTACAGAATTTGACTCCCTAAGACCAGAAAGCAGTATAATTAACTTCTATGTAATTTAAAATCTGTTGGCATCTTGATAATTTAGTTATTCCTACAAAATTCATTAGTGTTATTTCAATTTATGTTACAAAAAAAAGGGATTCTTTTCTAACAGATGTCCTGAACCATTTATTTCTTTAACCATCTTTTAAACTAACAGAAGTGGCAACATACTAAAGCATGTTACTTTAGGTCTGTTGCTACAACTATACCAATTTTTGTTGTTAAAGGGCAGATAAGTGACATGTAAACCAGCTGTTATTTGCATTACATCAACTTTAAGGAAACTCATTTAATTGCTTTAGTAACACTACCTCATTTGAAGTAAAAAATAACATTTTTAGTATTTCAGTCAAAATAAACCTTTTAAAATAATTACATAAAGTGAGTTTTTTAAAGGTTCATATTATGTTTAAATTGAAATACTATTTTATCAGTACCAAATTATAATGGAGCGTGTTCTCAGTGGGTAAAATAGTAAAGAATTTAAGGCTCAGTCTAAACAAAATACAAATGAAGTATTAAATATTTAGAACACCACGAGTAACAAAATCTATGATTCAAAGAAAACTCAACAAAAGGTTTTTTAAAAAAATAAGCGATTTGGGGTCGGTAAAATTGTGTATCAAAGCTCAGGCTAGCATTTTAAGGAGAGTATCAGAGTTTAACACATTAAGGAATTAAAAAATCATATATATATATATATATAGTATTAACACAGTGTTAGCAAAAAAACCCCAACCCACCACTGCTTTGCCTCCAGTGAAGACAACCTCCCCTTCTCATCTCTGGTCTCTATGGTAACTACCTACTTTGATAGGAAAATGGCATATTAAAATACATAAATTTGAGGGAAACCCAAAAACCTTTGTTAGTTGAATCAGGGGTAGGAAAAACTTAAAAAATTATCTTGCTACCAAGATACCAAATTTCAAGAATTATCCAATTTGTAAACAAATGAGTTACAAATCTTTGCTAAATTAACAATTACTTCAATTACCTTCTAAATACTATTTACAAAGACTCATCCATGAATTGTTCACCGTTCTACCAAAACTGTAGTTAGGGTCATCAAATAGTAGTTATAAACATTTGGTTGTAGGATTATAAACGGCTATATTATAGGAACACCAATCACTAAGTGCAAACCAGCTGGAATGCTCTTTGCAGCTTTACTGCATAGGTATTCAATAGACTCAGATTACAAAAAATCAATGGATTTAATAAATTCTGTACCATACTGTCCAGTAATCAGTATGCAATATGATGAATAATTCAAAATAGCTCTCTCCTTGCCCCATACTTCTACACATTTTCACTCTTCCCAAGTCAGTAAAACAAAGTAACTCAGGCTAACCAGGTGAAAGAAATGTATTAGCATAATCCAAAGAAAATGAAATAAAACAATCCACAGTTCTTGAGTGTTTTATCACTTATAATAAACTGGAAATAGTTCAGTAAAACAACTATATGCCACAGAAAAACAAATCCCATCATCCAGAATACTGATTTCCTTACACAAGACTACAGATTTTTAATATAAAATAGTAGGAACTAGAATGCCATTCATTAGAAACCTCAAAATAGTCAAGTACTGAGAGACAGCGGAAGAAGCCAAGACCTCAGAATGCACATATCCTGGTAATTCCCTGAAATTCAATTAACTCCATCCACACACATTGAACTATAATCAATTTTCAAAGATACAGAGAAATAAATTCATCTAACTAAAAATGCTACCCTTGATAGTAACTTTACATGAACTTTTATATTTTACTTGGCGTCTGTCTGTACTTTAAATCAGCACTCAAGTACCATAAAATATAAATCCCTGATAAACCTTATGCTCACTGTTGCCCTGTTTATGTAATTTTAGTCCATTAAATATATTACTGATAATGTAATGACTCGCTAACATTTCTTGAATCAATACTATTACTCCTTCTTCAAAGACAATTTAAGTGTGCAAGAAGTGAGAATCACTCCCATGAAAGATTAAAAAAAAAAAAAAAAAAAGTATTTTTGTTCCAAAATTTAGTGTCCTATATTTCTATTAAGTCTTTTCAAGGATTCCAGAGAATCTTTTCATATCTCCATTTCTGGAAAGTGAAATCAGTATAGAAATAATTTGGGAACTTGAAAATGGCACTCATTTTTTTTTTCAGCAGATGCCAAATTTTTGACCGACATGGCTCCCACAATTACTTTGTTATCATCAGTCCAGTCAGTTAACAGGTTGTAGGAAAAGATTCTTTTTGCAGACACTGCTAAGCTGTTTAAAGAGAAGAAAAAGAGATTAATTTAGTGATTATAAAATGCACAGATATTTAATTAAAATATTTTGAACACTTTTTGGCGGATTATATCAGCAGTGTGACTCCACTTTTAACAAATGTAGACTTTTTTTAGTCATAAAGTCTGGTCAAGGAAGTGTGGAAATAGTAAGTCAATATGATAGAAAAGAGTAGGTCAATATGGCGTGTTAGTTCAATTAATGTCTGAATCCCTAACACCACCAGAAAATAAATCTTAAAAAGCTAGACTTTTAGTCCAGTTCTGTATCATTTTAGCATTTGGCATATTAAGCCTAGGAACTAAAAGTACAATAGGGGGTAAAAAGTTATTACATTTTAATCCAGTAAGGTAAACAGATCAAAACCTGAAAATTTCAAAAACAATTTATAATCCAGAAATCTCCTGTACCCAAGTACTAACCATTTAGAACACAATTTTCTAGAAATAGTAAGACAACAGTTTCATATTAATCACAGTTCTTTTAATTAACAAGTGATAGGACACTTTAAGATATTGTTTACCACATACTGAAATAAACAAATCTGTTATAAATTCAGAAGCCCAAACATTTACAGTAAAATGTGCTTACACATAAATATTGCCAAATTTAAAGCCCCTATTAGATAGGGCCTAAGTACATGCAATTGCCATGTAAAAACAAGACCATGAAACTGATGCAAAAATGACAAAAACCACTAAGTCAACAAAATTGGAAAAGAGAGAATGAGATGGAAACAAAGAAAAGACAGTTAATAAAACAAGGACACCAACAAAGCAGCTCTAAAAAATAGGTTATACTAATCTTTCCATTTTCAAAAGTTTTAAATCAAGTATTCCCCAAAATTGCCATTTATAAAATGACATTCTAATATTTTAATCTTGGAGTCTCAAAGCATCCCAATTCAGAAAGCTCCAACTACTCCTTTCCGGTCTCAAACAACAAATAATGCAGGGAAAGAATTGATGGTTAGAACGTACGTATTCCAAGGGAATAGTGTTAATTTTTTTGAAAATCACTGCCTCCATTACCTTTTAAACCCACAGTCAGCAATAACAACAGTCATTTTTCCTATTTTCATCCATTATATTTCAACGTCATGTTAGAGATGAATAAATTCTTTGAGCCCGTAAATTGAAAGATCAACAAACCTGGTTTTATTATGACACCATATTTTTGTCATTGGTACTGCACAAATTTATATACAAAGAAATATATACAAAATGTTCAAGTATTAGTTAAATTTCAATTCAAGGCTTCTCTTTCAAAAAGCTACAATTAACATATTCCATAAAGATAGCACAAATTAGTCATTTCAAATAATTTTCCAACTACTTTTGGTTTATATATATAATTCAGTAGGCACTAAAAATTCATGCAGCTGCATTGTGAGGGGCTTGCTCCTGCACTTAAGATATAAGCAGGTTCATCACTTCAGGTTGTGAGTTTAGCTACTACCCATTCATGCTCAAGTGCAGTAGATGATTTCACAAAATATGCTGTAATGCACTGGAAACCAGAGACCAACTGAGGTCTCAAATCTTATCTAGTAACAAAACATTTACAGTTGTGCAAGAACACAGATTCCATTTTCATAACCAAATAACAAAATAAAACCTTTTTATGTGTAAGATAGCTTACATCTTTGGACTGCTGGAAAATACTTTTTTAATTATGAATATTTTAAAAATAAAAGACAGCAGAAGCCCTGATATTACCTCTTTTTCCTCATTTCTTATACTACCTTTTAAAATAAAGCAGGAAATGTGGCCAGCAGCTGGTCCCGTCTCTTCTGCCCCAACAGCTGTATCCACTTTAGCACAAAGAAAAACAAGGATGCTAAATACGTATATACTTTATCAAACAGTGATGTTTCACAAAGAATTTCTAAATGTCTCTTACGATGAAGGACATAACAATTCATAAGTGGACAATAATAACAATACTTCCAGGAAAGTATGTGTCCATCTTTGGAAAAAAACCCATGTCAATTGTGTTTAAGTGGTCAGAAACACTCAAATTTGAGTATCTCTTTTAAATAGGACAATTCTTTTGAAATAATGATTCTTTGTGAAGCCTCACTTTACACTTTTTCATTCACATTTCACAAATCTTCATTATTTAGTCATACATACATAAATATAACCTAAAATTTAATACAACAAAAATAAAGATGCCAAACAGTTTTATATTCATATTCAGTGAGAGAGTAATCAATCACTGTGCTGGTCCTCAAAGAAATATTAACCGTTCTTATTTTTCTCCCTCCAGCTAACTAACACAGGAGTCTGATATATGCCTGTTAACCTCCAGCTTCTCGAAATGTGAGAGATTAAAATGTTTATCTAAATTTATTTTTGTAACTTGTAGTGAAAAATTAAAAGGCATTCTTTTTAAGAGATAAATCATCTCCAGCAAAACAACTATCACATTTACGCATGCCCCAAATATTATACTGTCAACCTCTGAAAAGTTGCTCTAAAATTGGAATTCCAATTTGCACGTTGTACAACTCGGAACTTCCATTCAACTTCACCTGTTTCACTGTATCCAAACTGTATTTCTATAAGCAGGTTTCAGTGTACAGTTGGAACCGATGTCATCCAAGGCCATGTCCACACTGGGGACAGAAGAGCTAGGTACACGCAAGTTTGAACAAGGGGACACATTAACAGCTATTTCAACCAGAAGAAGCAACTTAAAACACATTATTGACCAGCACAAGTCTGTTTCCAGGGTGGACAGGGCCCAAATCAGATTCCCTCCCATCTTCCAAAATAGAAAAAAAGAAAAAAATATATATATCACACACACACATTGAGATGTTGCTCAATAAAGTAGACTAAGCAGCAGAGCATGAGCGTTACGTGAAGAGATGGATCCTTACCAGGTTGTGAGGCGGGAACGACTGTTCTGTAACCCCTACAACGGAGCCTGGCAGGAAGGAAATCACCTAAAAAAGAAACTGTCAGAGAGATTTAATAGTCACATGTTATCATTAGGAGTGGGTTACAGTGTCACATTCATGCTTTTAGCTAAACACTTAAAGATTCAATATTACTTTTTTTTTTTCCTCTCCTCTGACATGTGTCCAGTGAAGATGTCCCACTAAGGTGTTTTACATGGTGTAAGGGAGCTGAAGGGGGTAAACGCGGATAAAGAGCAGATTACTTGACCCTACATTTTAAGAGAAGACGACGCCTTCCGGGCGCACGCCGAGCAGAACTCCACCGACACCTTATCCTTGTCCACATGGAGACACACTCCTCCCGCCGAGTCGTCCTCTTCGAGCAGGTCCTGCTGCTGCTTGCCCACCGGCAGCGCGTAGTCGTGGTCGCCGGCGGGCGAGTCCCTGAAGAGCGAAGTGGTCAGCCGCAGTCCCACGCCGCTCAGCCGGCTCAGCAGGCGCGCCAGTCCCGTCTCGTTGGCCAGCACGGCCCGTAGGTAGCGACTCTCCTCCTGCAGTGCTTGCACGCGCTTGCCCAGCTCCCGATTCTCGGCCCGCAGCTCCTGGTTCTCGGCTGCCAGGCCCCGGACGCGGCTCTCCAGCCCCATCACGTACTCCTTCTTCTTCAGCCGGTTGAGGCGGGCAGCGGCCGCCGCCGCCTTCCGCGGACTCTTGGTCGCCGCCTGGTGGTTGTCGTTGCCGCCGCCGCTGCAGCCGCCGCCGCCGCCAGGGGACTTTCGCCGCCGCTTTTCTCCGCTGCTGCCGTCGCTGCTGCAACCCCCGATGCCGTTTAGCAACTTCTGCAGCAGATCGGAAAAGCGCTGCATTTCGGCAGCCGCGGCTTCGTCGTCATCGTCCCCTCTCCAGAGGCCACCGCTGTCCGACCCGCCGCCTGACGACGAGAGCGGCCCCGGCGAGCTGAGCCCGGGTTCCAGATGCCAGTCTGGCTGTCGAGGGTCCAGCAGATCGGCCAGTTCCAGGCCGGACAGAAAGTCCATGTCCTCCGACTCCTCCCCCGGGACGCTGGCGATCGCCTCCTCCTCCATCTCCTCGGGGGAAGGCGCGCGCACGGCCACGCCGCCGCGGCTCCCCCTTCCGGCCTCCACCTCGTCCTCGTCGCCGTGCGGCTGCCTGCGGCCGGGAGATCCGGCCGCCGCCGCCGTCTCCTCCTCCTCCTCCGCCCGGCTCAGGTCCGGAGACAACGAGCAGGCCGCGGCCGGCGCGGGGCTCGCGCTGCGAGTCGGGGAGTCCGTGCCCGAGGCCGCCAGGAGCTTGGTCAGGCTATGCCGCATGGGGCCGAGCGGGCCCACGTAGGCCCCGGCCCCCAGACCGGGCCTCGCGGGCCCCACGGACCTCAGGCCCCAGTGTGGGGACCCGGAGCGCTGGCCGCAGCGAAATGAAAGGGAAGGTCCGAGTACCTTCCCGCCTCGCTTGGCCCGTCGGCCCACCGCGCCGGGACGCGGGAAAAGACGAGAAGGAAGCGACGAGGCCAGGCGATGACTCGGCCTCGCCACCCAGACAACGGCCTGGCCGGAAGTCTGTCTTTCTCGCCCGACCCCTCCCACTGCGTTTCGCGCGCCACCAGGCTCTGGTATCGCGAGAGTTTAGGCTGCCGAGGAGTGGGAGTAATTCCAGGATTCCAGTGATGTCATAGGAACGGTGGTAAAAATAACAAACACTAGGTTTACCGAAAAAAAAAAGAGTACCCTCGCCATGCTTACTTTTTAACCCTCTATGTTCTCCCTTTCACTTAAGTGATACCACGCTCACTTAGAAGTTATCATCTGGATACCAAATTTGTGAATTGTCGGCAGCCAAATCTGAGACTTGACACTGAAATACCTTGGCAAACCCACTTTATAATAATGAGACATGTTAAAGTTTACTCTGTGCAGAAAATGTAACTTCATGAAAAAGTACATTCGCCTTTACCCTTGTTTGCTGAGAAAACAATTCTACACCTTTAGAAATTCTTGAGCAGTTAACGATGTTTTAATTATTTTAATAGAGCCTACAGAACAGGAGAATCGGCCATCAGAGATCACCAAGTAACCTCAAGTCTGGTGATCTCAAAGGCGAAAGGAGAGCCTAGTTCAGTCAACCAGGATAATATTAGTGATTCATTTCCTATTCTTCCGCCTCCTCTTAAAGTCTCATTTTAACAAGCCTGTATTGAACCATTTTTTATTTTTTACAAACAAAATGGTTTCTCTGCATACATAAATTGGTCAAATAAACCCTATGTTCATTAATTACTTTATGATTTGATTACTTTTTAACAGCTGTTATTCCGGATTTTTCTGGATTGAGACTAATAATCAGATCATTCTTAAAATTGCTCTTTCATCCCTTTCATTAGTCTGTAACGCCTGGGGAATGGGGGAGGACTTGTATTTAGAATTAGCCAGCTGAACTCGGTTTAGATGATCCCAATTTTGTTGGCAACATCCAAAGTATCATAAAAGCAAGTCGAACACAGACCTTCTTTTCTCCATCAGGCCTAATCAAAGTATTTACCTTGGCCACATCAATGTCATAGATTCTTTACAGCTTGTTTGATTTGGTGCTTGTTCGTCTTGACATCTACAATGAACACAAGTTTGTTATCTTCTGTCTTCTTCATGGCTGACTCAGTGGTCAGGGGAATTTTGATGATAGTATAATGGTCAAGTTTGTTTCTCTTGGGGGCACTCTTATTATTTGGGCTGTCTTCAGAGTCTCAGCATTTTAAGCCAACAGAATGGTTTTTTTGTGGCTATGTATGCCCTTCAGGACTGCCTTCCTGGCCTTTAATGCCTTTGCTTTGGCTTTAGTTTGGGGAGGGACAGGGGCTTCCTTCCCTTTTGGGGCCATCTTCATAAAAAGGAATGAATTCCCTTCTTTATAAAACAAGACATTTTCAAAAAAAATTTAAAAAGAAGACATTTTCACTAAAATACTGTATTCTAGAAAAAAAGAAGTAAATGAGTAAATCATTGCTATTTCTTTTCTTTCTTTTTGGGGGGGGGGGTTGTTAGAATTTCCAAATCGTATACAAGGATCAGATTTAACAATTGTTAACAAATTGCCTATTTTAATTAATGTGTGTGTGTGTGTGTGTGTGTGTGCGTGTGTGTGTGTTTTCTGCCCTAAATCATCCCAAAACACTCGTAAGTACTTTCAGTATTTCTCTCTTAAAATCTTAAACATAATCCTATTATTAACAGCTCAGTTTTTCAATAGGTTATCAAAATTTTCTTCATGGTTTCTGGGTTTGTTCTTAATCTTAAAAAGACCTTTTATCCAAAATAATACTTATACTCTTACTTCAGCAATTTTTAATAATGTGCATTGCTTATTGTTTCATTTCAATCTTTACTTCATTTGGAACTTCTTCCAGTACAAATATGAAGTAGGAATTTAACTTTTCAAATTGCTATCTGCCACAGTGTAATGTACTAAAAACCTATGCTTTCCCTACAGATTTCCCAGCATGTATGCCATGTAATAAGGGAGCTCGGATGGCCTAAAGCAAGAGTTGCACTGCCATCCCTAAGGCACATGATGTTTAAGCCCACCAACTGTTCCATGAGAAAAATGGGAAATATCTTCCTGTGTACAACATGTTATTGTTGTTATGTGCCATCGAGTTACCTGTGACTCATAGGGACCCTATGTACAATAGCTCTGAACCCTGCAATATCCTTAACAAATCTCATCATCTCAGACACATTTAATCCCACTTCTCCAGTCACTGAGTCAATCCATCTCATCTTGGGTCTTCCTCTCCTGCATTGTTCCACCACCCTTCTAAGTATGATGTCCTTCTCCAAGAACTCATCCCTCCTGGCCACGTGCCCAAAGTATGCAAAAAGGGAGCTTCAAAATCCTAGACATCAGGGTGAAGCTTGGTTTCACTCTCTCCAGGACACACCTATTTGTTCTGCTGACAGTCCACATTATGTTCAACACTTCTCCAGCATCACAACTCAAAGACATTGATTCATTTTTTTATCATCCTTAGTTATTGTCCGACTCTTAGATGCATAACAAGTAATTGTGAAGACCATGGCCTATATAGGGTGCACCTTAGTCTCTAGACTGACATCATTGCTCTTCTGTTCTCTAGAGAGGTCACTGACAGCAGACTTTCCCAATGCAATTTGTCTTTTGATTTCCTGGCTATAGTTACTATATATTGTTCTAGTTGAACAAAAGCCACTCCAATTTTACTATGGTCTTATAATATATCTTAATGTCTCATAGGACAAGTTCCTTTTTGATACTTTCACTTTCCTCAGAAATTTCTGCCTATACTCGAATATTCTTCCAGATAACTTTAGAAATTTTTCAAGTTCAAAAAAAGAAGCTGTTTTAATGTACATTATATTAACTAAATTACATACTATTCTTGCTACTGTAATAGATTGGTTATACACTCATTTGTCTCCCCAAAACATGCTCATTCAAAACCAACAAGCTTGGGAACCTGTTCCTATAAAGATTATGGCCTAGAAAATCCTATGCTATAGTTCTGCTCTGTCCCATGGGACACTGTGAGTGGAGATCTACTCAAAAGTACCTAACAATAAATACAAAATATCACTGAGACATTTGTTGTTTAGTGTTTGTTTTCCCTTAATATATAACCCTTTCCCCACTGTTGTTGATGGTGGTGTGTACCATAGAGTTGGAACTTAATCCATCGCTGACACTCCAGAGAATTTTTAGAAGCAGTTTATTGTACGGGAGGAGATTGCCCATACTTCTGCCGCAGAGCAGCTGGTGGCCTCGAACTCCGTGCCTCGGGATTGCAGCACAGCTTCTAGCCACTGGCCATCAGAGCTCCTTTTCCACCACTGTAAAGTCTTAAATTATTTAACCATTCTTCAATACCAAGAGATTTACAAGATTAAAACTGCCTAGTCATGCCTTTCACAATTTGCTGGCTAACATGAGATAAATTGGATTTTGTTGTTTCAAGCCACTTGGGTTTGGGTAATTTGTTAGACAACACCACGTGGCTAATACATGGAATTGACAATTTTGGCAGCAGCACTAGTTTTCTAACCCCTGAGTCACAGCTACATATCTTTGAAAGTAACCTGTACACAAATTTTTCAGTTGGAAAACCAGAAGATAATCTCTGATAGTGTAATTTCTTGAGGGATTAGGAAAAAAGGTCATCAGAAGAGGGTTAGGAGGAGAAGACTTAAATGAGAAGTCATGAAGAGATGAAAAATTGGTGAATTGAATATGAAAGTGCTGGCCAAATATGTTGGGAATTTAGCAGGGCTTTGAGACTATGTCATTCAGTGCTCAACAGCAGGAAATAGAAACCAATCTGTTTCAAGTAGAAAAGAGTGTTTAACACAGATAATCAAGCGTTTACAAGTCATTGGAAGGAATAGAAGAGAAATATTCATTACGCTGGTAACGAAAAGTTTCTCTCAGTAATATGTGGCCAAACAACCCAACAAGGAGCTCTTATTTCTTCCTCAATTGGGAAAATAGTAAAATAGAATGTTGGAATGTTGGTTTTCAAGACAGTGCTCAAGTTGTGAGCCAGGGACCAGGAAACCAAGGCTGCTGCCAAAACTCTCAAACCCATCCTCATGGAGATGCACTGTGAACCCAAAAGTGATGCCTCTCTGGCCACGAGGACACAGAACTGTCTTTTATAGTCTTGTCTCAGAGTTCACATACCTTCACTTCCATGGTATTCTATTAGACTGATTACAAACCAGCCCTCCTACACTGTAGGGAACTACACAAGAATGTGAATACTGGAGTTAGGGATTTCTATGGTGAGCCCTGGAGGCCTAGTAGGTAAAGAGTTGCACTGCCAACCTAATACCACGCAATTCAAATCCATCAGTTGCTCCATCAGAAAAAGATGGTAAATCTCCTCCTATACATTTTTTTAATTTATTTCAGATTTTAATTAAATTTTATAGAGAACTTGGATTTTCATTCATCCGTTGTTGCACCTCCTATACAATTTAGGGACTTTGGAGGATCAGCTATGAGTTGATTCGAACTTGATGGCAACGAGTGAGTGAGCAGTTATCTTGGGAATTGGCTATTACATCCCCTAACACTGATGACTAGACATTTGAGAAATGGAGTTAGCCTTTGTATTTGTTTTGTTTCAGCTTTTTGGTTTCTTCAATATAGGAAGCCACATTAAAAAGTGGGTTGAAATGAATGATGAATGTCAATTTATCAGACCCTCCACAATAAGGTTCTATATATCCAAACTTCCACAAAGACCATCACTCTATGCTACTCCAGCGCCAAAGAATAAAGCCAT